TGTGTGCAATCACAAGACTTGGATAAAAAGAGCGTATCGTCCAGGTGATAAGGGCTTGCACCTGGTTGCTACACAAACCCACTGACAACCTCGACTATATAATTTAATATCGGATGATGGGTGGTGCTATCATCCGAGCCACCTTATTTTCTGTACACAGCACAGCTGGTTAGGGTAGGTGGTCTACTTAAAAGGGGTGCCTCCTTATATCAAATAGTCACTCATCACGCCAGACAACCTCATGCGCGTAGCCAGGTGAATGTGCGCGACTTTTTTCCGCTGCTACGTGGAACGGGCAGTCAGAAGCCTGCAGTTGGCGAAGAAGTCACCAGCTTACCACTGAAACATCCTATTATCGTTAGCTTTAACCATTTATTTGCATAACCTGGTTGGCAACATTCATTCAGTCAGTCGGTGTTTTCCGCTCAGAAAGACACTCTCGGCAGTAAACTTAAATCCTAAATATCTTTGGACATAAGCGATTCCTTTCTCCCTCCAAAAAATTATAAAACCATTGGTCTTGACGAAATCCAATCTATTACAACGAAAATAGGCAAAATCAGCAGCTTTTGCAATTCGGATGATATGTATAGTCACAACCAACTTTAGTGATTTTTTCAAATGCGGAATAAATAACTTCATTAGTGTGCTCACTGAACAATTTACATCACTCTCTTTGCGTCTTCTTACGAGTGCAAGTGACGAAAGGACCCGAGATTGGCAAACGTGTAGGCGAGTAGTAGGTATGAAACACATATTCGCAGCTTCTCAACTCTAACAGCGACAGAATATGCACGTATGGGCCGCTGTCACGAGGTCCCCTGGCCTGTTTCGCGGCTGAGTATATCAACCACTATATTTTAGCGATATGCTATTATCAGAAATATTTTAAATGAACCCTGTGCATAATATTTGGTGATTACAGTCAATCTTTCATGCCACAAATCGACGAACAGTGTCTTATTTTTACATCACACTGAAACACATTTTGATGCACGGCCACCAGAAGTCACTAATCTGGGAGTGAAATATGAGACGCTTTCAGGTATATGTCAACCCATGCTTCGGAACAAATCCAGATTGTGTGGTGATTACGGGTAACTTAACGAAGGACATTTCAGTAATAAATATCATGTTTGCTGGGAGGAACTTGATGAAGCAATATTGAAGTTCGGATCCAGTCCAAAAACCTGGTGATCCTTGTATATCAGAGTATGCGAAGCAACGTTCAGCTACATAAACACTACACAGCTGATCCGGCGAGCATTAATGCAACACAGTCGCCGAACCTCCTAGCCGTAATATTCCATCTACCTTCTGAAGACGAAATCCACCTTAACGTAGATGTCTTCCGTCTTTACTCTCTTGAAACTTCTTGCTTCGTATCATTCCATTCTCTCGGAGTTAGCGGAGTACGCTGGATTTGCCTATGCACAATCCGATAACGTAAAAAATCAACTGTATGTACCCGGCCAGCCGATTTCCATTCTTGGTCTCCATTATTATTAGAACAAAACCTTTCTACCATTCTAACTATACGGTGAATTCGGATTATAGATTCCACAGCACCGCGCTCTCATCCATGAAAAATATGACTGGGTATTGCAAAGAGATTAGACTCTTATCTTTGCTCTTATCTTTCCGGACGGACCAATCTTCTTTCCTCCTAAAATACCCACCTCAACTTTGCTTTGTATGGCATTTGAGTATTTAGGTTCTGTCCCATACAGCCGAAAAAACGTGTTATTTAGGGTAGCAGAATTGCATTATTTTCCACTTTGAGCCTTCGATGCAGCTATGGCCCTGAATTTATACGCGCCGTCACACCGAGAGCTTGATGCACCATTTCAGCGTATCCAAGTGATACACCAATTTCCTATCGGCTTCGTTTCAACCGAGCCTGGCCACCGACCTGTAGGTAAAACTTAGCTATTCAAAAAATTTACTGAGCTTGGCTAAGCAGCTGCACGGATCAAGAGCGAAAATGAAGCAGGCACCTATGTGGCTTACATTTTACAGTAGCGAATACAACGGGTTGCCGGCAACTATGTTGAGCAAATCCGAAACCCGTTTTTCCAACCTGAGTTCGCATTCCTTCCGTTGGTGAATTACCAAACTCCGATCGTTCTACCGGCTGAAAAAACGGAAGGAATGACTTTTACGGAGAAGTTTTTATTGGAGTATCTTTCTTCTCGTAAACCATCGTATTTTCCTGCATTTTATGATTGCATCGGAAGTTCGAAAGAATGTTTTGTGGTATGTAAGAACAAATAACCTGTGACTCATTCACTCAAACTACCTATTACGCAGCAATGGTGACTGAAGATCTATCCTCGTGAGAATGCATAATGGAAAAATTAAGATCAGGTGGCAAGTGAATGATTTCAAACATCATAAGCTAAAAAGAGTGAAAAACGTTTGTTCGTAAATATTCTGCGCCTGTTGAGGGCATTTTCTGTGACCAAAATGTGGAGCACAAATGACAATCCACGCGAATGCGGTGGACGAAAGCATCATCAGCGACATTGTGTTGGGCACTGTCATCAGAAGGCGCTTAATTAATGACCCCGTAATAAACCAATAGCCTGTCATTCAGCAGGGAGCGAGCCGCACGCTGCAACGCTTTTTGCGCTCGGATGAATCCTTCTCTGGTGACGACAAATGCTGCTTAGTCTTGGAAAATCTGTCCCACACAAATCACGTTGAAATGATTTCTCACTTGAATGCACGGGCATATGTTACATGAATGCAATTTGGCGCACAAAACTTTTGCCGCAAACGGGACACAAATGTAGTTTACCCTTATACACTTCACCCTCACCGTAATGGACTACAGCCTTGTGTTGTTTGACGCTGAGGTCATGCTCAAAATGCCTTTCACAGTAATTACACGAACACTCCCTTACTTTCGAACAAAAAGGTAGGTGTGATTTAGGTGTGTGTTCCGCTTCAAAAGATTTATCAGATCACTCGCGTTTGTATGGAAACTCAGTGTGGCTCTCCTTGCAGTTTCCTTGCTTCCGACTGATTACAGGCACGGCTAGAAGCCCAGTCAAAAGTCTTGATTGTTTGCTTTCACTAACGTGAACAACAACTTTGTAGAGTTACTTTGCTAGAAACGGTTATCCAGCTTCCAAAGGAGACTGGTGCTCTGTCCGTGTAAAAAAAGTGTTAAAGTAACTTGCCAGCTTCCAGGCCTAAGGTAAATCAGCAAAACAAATTAGTTGTTCAAACGAATGGCCAACAAAACCCTGAAGTGCACTGTGAGAATTCCCTGGTGATTCTTGTACTCATGAAGGCCTCAACAATGAAATGTGAATTGGCTGTTAAGTACCTTACATGTACACGTGCACATGGTGTATTTGTCCGGACAGAGCTGAAACAAATATAGCGTGAGTCTTCTTATGAGCATGGTTTGCCCCACCAAAACTACCTCATGAAACGCCAGACAAGGACGGCAGAGACCTTTGTTTCTGTAATACCTGGTGGTCCTGGTGTAAAATGGGGGACATATGCTGTAAAATGGGTCTGGTGGAATGATTACACCGTCAACAGTCCTTGTTCCAGTGTAGGATGAATGTTGCTTTTTAATAAGATATTGTTGCAATTCATTTTCTGCCAACACCGCTCTTTTCCTCTATGGGAATTCGCGTCCGCAACCCCAGATGGTGTGAAAAGTCGAGCCTGAAGATATTAACAGGGCCGCCAGATTTTGTAGCCGGGCTGTTGTGTGGTGCCAACTTTCTGCAGGGAAGTCAAACGAGAAAGACTTTAAACACCACAAGAAACAATAAGGTCATTAAAAAAACACAGAATTGTCCATTCGAGTACAACCTTATTAATACGCATAAAAGTGATAAATACTGGATGAAATTAACGGTTTAATGCTAATTTTACTCATAAATTGTTCCCCTATACATTAACCCAAATATCCCTAAAGTCAAAAGTCAGTCAACTTTTGGATTCTAACCTCCAACACAACGTTGCATATTCCTCAAATGACATGCATTTTTGGCTTGCTCGGTACGAACTGATACGGTGTTTCTGAAGTAAATATATATATCTTCTCCAAAAGTAGGCCAAGTTCAGTCCCGCAGATGGTAAATGTATCAAGCTGTCTCACCACACTCTATATTTCAAATTTCTCAATTCCTCGACTAGGTGTAACTTTACAAAATATCCTAACTTGCTTCATATTGTTCATTCAAGTACCGTAAGAAACGGGGGATAGCTTCACGCCATTCAGAAGAGTCCCACCCGTTTAAACTGTTTATGTGTTGACGGCCAAACTACGGTACACGAATGTCCGTAATTAAGCATGGAACGTTGTGCAGCAGGGCTTGTTGGAAAAAATGGCTTTGTGAAAATATTGCAGTTGTGTTGGGCGATGGGATACAACGTCTTTATGAAAAGGGGATCCTTATAAGGTAAATATGCCAAGCACGTGAAAGTGAGCATAGTCAGTCATAGTTGAGCTTGTTCATTCACTGACATCATGGTGACTACTCCGAATAAAATAAGATCTCATTTGATGATGTGATAGTGAGGCATATGCTTTGGTTACGCTTTATTACAAAGTAAGGGCTTCCCCTGTTTTACTTTACAGCACATGAACATGGAAGTGAAAACCATAGTTCTATGATGAGCCGGCAAATAGTTCCCATTCATGGTGCACAAATTAGTTTTATACCCGAACATATATTTATAACACGCTTGTGATCGACCGCACCAGGAGGGCAAACTATAAAATGCAATGTCAACAAATGGTATGCACTCCGGCATCTTCGAGTGGTTGAGAGCGCTAATTAAAAGGAGTGGTTATATTGTTTTTTCTCCTTCCGTTCCCTTCCAGTTCGCTTAACGGCGATCGCTGTGTCGTACATGACACCGCGTTCAAATTGGATTACCTGGATTAACCATATTATTGCATGTGAATATGTTTCAACTAAAGACCAAAATGAAAATTGCAAATGTGAGATAAATTAAGATGGCAGCCACACCTATCAAGGCCTGATGCGTCACTCTCTGATTCCACATTATTTACGTCGTATCAGGCAAAAAATGGTATCCTGTTCTGAACATCAGCACATTTCCGCCTGACAATCCAGACTACCTCCGACGCATATAAAAACACCATATAATCCACCGGCTAGTAAATTTGAATGGGCAAACTGGCGCGAAAGAGCTTTGTTCTCCAAATTTCCTGATTCTCTTTACATTGGCTATGCCGTCAACGTTGTACAATGGGCTCCACCTGTCAACGTATTTTTAGCCATATTTACTGCTGCGTTCTGAAATCGTGAGTACAATCGCATGATTAGGCCTCACTTTGTTTATTTATGCCTTGATCAAGATGATTGGAATTGGTAAGACGTCTCGTTAGATCGGACTCCTGGCGGTAGTTCCATCACCAGAACTGTATCCTGCAAATATGTATTGTTCAGCTTTTCGGAGGCAGCAGAGATATTGTTGATATGCTTGTCCACAAACTGCCTCAACCTTTCCAAAAAATTTGGCGATGTGGAACAGTCAGCTTGCCTTGAACGATCGTCCATAATCGCACTACACAGACCTTTCCCACACCAGACGTCTCCGACGCGGAGATCCCAACAGACGGTCATCCTATTTTTCGAGCTGACTCAAAACGAGTGACGATGGTAGGGTGGCTCTGTATTTACATGCTGCCCTACCAATCCCGATTTTCCCCTCTAATACCACTCCGGCACCTTTTTGCGAGGCACTGTGGGTCCAAATCCTGCTGCGCGGGTCCGATTCTCTCCTCCTTGGCGTGATCAACCGCAGCCCATCGAGTCTCTCTCAAGATGACCAATTCCTTATACGAACCCCCGAACAACTCTACTTGAACTATCAATTCACTTCAGCGCTTCTAAGACCTCTTGGATGGAGCTCCAGAGCGTCCAACGAAGCGGAAATTTTCAGCGGCGCTGATTGAAGGCGTTCAACAGAGCACTTGGACTCAACATGTCGTTGCTCCCCCAGATCCCGCGCAGGCCATCTACGATCCATCCTGGATTTGGTTATCACCAACGAAAGACACTTCGTCGATCAGGTAACAAGTAACGTTCCACCGGGACATGGGGGCCACTGTGAGCTGACCTTTGATTTCATCTGCTACTGGGCCAGAAATCCCGAACCTCAAACGTGGTTTCGAGTCTTCTGCCGTTCAGACTTCTGAGGAATGCGCATCTTTCTTGATCAGGTTACACTGGGACCAGCTCCAGTGGAAGAACTATATAGGACCATCGTTCAGAATGTTCACGAGGATGGGGCGATGTTCGCCCAAAAACAGGCACGCAGTCGGACGAGCCGCAGGCTGCCAAAAAGGATTCGGTGACTTCTCGCAAACGGGTTTCAACCTTTTTTTTCAAAAAAAATTGACTGCAGGGGATACAGAAGATAAGCTGACATTTCGTAAACTGTGGGGGGCCGCTGTAAATCGGATATCCGCCAATGGAACGTACGAGTCGAGCGCTTATCCTAGACCTCGCTCGGAAAAACAAAAACGTACTGTTCAAAAACATGAGAACTCGCAGCCATTCGTGTTCTCCTTGAGGGACAGTAGTGACCCGCGATTGGTATCTGAGATTCACGGAGAATACTACGCAGGTCTGTATTCGGCCCCAGCGTGCTCGTCATATCAACTCACGTCAAGATGTAACTAAAAACAGCCTCTTACCAACTTGGTCTTTACAATGGACGCCCTTCGTCACCTCTTGCGAAAAATCAACCCAATCTATTCTTTGGGGTCCGACGAGGTTCATCCAAGGATCCTGAAGTAAACGTCGTCCACACTGTCAAATCATTTATACCTGGTGTTTCGTCAGTTGTTTCACGAAGGCTGCCTTCCCTCTGCTTGGAAGGGAGTGATTGTCATGCCAGTCTACAAAACTGGTGACCGACTATCGCCAGGCAGCTACAGGCCAGTAAGCCTTACTAGCTTGCCGCGCAACCTGATGGAACTCATTCTGAAGCGAGCTATCCTAGATCACCTTACCACTAGCAACCCGACATCTCCAGTTCAACAAGGATTTCTTCCAAACTGTTCTTGCGTAGCAAACATGCTCGCGTTTATGGACAGCTTAACCCAAGCCAAGGACATGGGAATCATATTGGATGCCATATTTTTCGACTTCTTCGAAGCATTCAATAGTCCCATAGTCGTGCTGCTCCACAAACCTGAGTCTTACGGGATACAAGGGAAAATCCTTCACTGGATCAAGGCGTTCCTATCAGAGAGAGAGAATAGGCTCGTGTGAGGAGAGGCTCGACCTACTCTTCTTCAGCGCCGGTCTCCACTGGAATTCCTCAAGGCTTCGTCTTGGGACCACTGCTGTTTATGATCTACTTCAACGACCTTCCAGACGTTCGTGCAAGTTCATGTCTACTTTTTGCGGACGACTTGAAATCCCGGAGTTCCAATGCCAGTGCCCTCTGAATGGATGTAGACGTTGCAAAGCAGTGGTCGTTGGACTGGCACCTTCCTCTGAATGACGAAAAGTGCATCCGTGTGTCATTTGGAGGAGACTCTTCGAAAGCCTTTGTCATGCATCGTGAGAAAGGACCAGAAAACATCATGAGGATAGACGCCAAAGATGATTTGGTTCTCTGGGTCTCCGCAAAATTGTCCTCACTGTAGCATGAGAAATCGTCCCAAAAAGCATTTGCCATTTTACGGATAACCCCACGCACCTTATCCCGTATCACTCGCATAGACTTCCAAGTACTCTACGGGGCCTACGTCACACTGCTCCCGGAAAACGCCAATCAAGTTGTTTACTCAGGACGTGCGAAAGACGTAACCCTCATTGGGAGTGTCCAGAGAGCCGCAACGAAAACCTTTGTCAGCCACAAATCCGCGGACTACAAAAACGGTCTCGCGATGCTTGATCTCTTTATCCTCGAGTGTTGCCGCATCCGATGGAACCCTTCTAGAACCCAGTTAAAAGCACTACTAGATATTTATGTGAACGACTTTTTCTCACTTGTGCCTTTCAGATGGACGCCAAACGATTGACAACAAGAACAAATTGACCCGGGAAACTGGGCAAAAGGCTCCATCCTGTGTGTCATCCCACGGATCCGTGAAATGCGTATCGCAATGACTTTGATTAATCACGGTCCTGACAGGCAGCCGATATGGCTAACATGGTCTCATGAAGGTGATTCAGGATTAATTATTGAACGTCCCAAACAAGAAGATGCACCTTTTCGGTTTTAAGCTGAGCGACCCAACATTAGAGTGGAGCGCGAGTAACACAAAGGTGTCAAGCCGAGAAATATTGGACCAGATTAGCAGGTTGGTTTACACATATGCAACTTTCCGGATGACATTTCCAAGATTGTCATTGGTGACAAAATGTTTTGTGGTCAGTTTGTGGGTGACAATGTCAGTCGTTAGTGGGGGTTTACAATCGACGACCTT